GTCTTTTTTCTTTTCCCCAGTCCTCTTGCCTCAGGTGTGGAAGTAGTATCTGTTTTATCTTTTTAGTATATGTCCTTTTAGATAGTAGTTATCATATGCTATATTCATCTTCCAGAGAGATTGACTATGTATTTACACACATATCAGGACACACATAATGAGGTATTTGTAGGAATATGTAAAAATAATTTTAACAAATTTATAGCCAAAATGACTCCTCTGCCTGTATTCCAAATATAATGAAGTTGTGTTTAACACCGGAGTCACTGGGAGCTTTAAAAATGCTGTGTCCAGGCTGCATTTCACACCAATTCAGTCAGGATCCCGGGGCCAGGTGCAGGCATTAGCAGTTTAAAAATCTCAAGTGATTTTAGCAAATTACTAACTCAGAAACTCGGGGGTGAGGCCTAGTAATGTGTATTTTAACAAGCCCTCCAGGGGATTCTGATACACACTCGAGTTTGAGAACCACTGGTCTAGACACCCAGTCTTCTCCTCTCCCTTATCTTCTGTCCAAACCAATCGACGATCATATCCTACTAATTTTATCTTTTAAGTGTGTCCCTCATATGTCAACCAATTTCCATCCTCAGCACTATTATCTATTCTTGCCCAGACAACTGATTATCCTGTGACCAGTTTTTCTTCCCTCCAATTCCTTTTTCTTTCAGCAGCCAGCGCAAGCCACAATAACTGTCTAACCACGTCTCTTCCCTGTTCTGAGGGGCGGCCCAGTGCCTGTAAAATAGAATCTGAACTCTTCAGCATGGTGCACAAGGCCCTCTGTAGCTGGCTTGGGCTAAGCTCTTTATCCTCCTCTTCCATCATTCCCTGACTCCATTCAGCCATACAGAATCTCCACAGTCACCCCCTCTTCTCCATGAACACGACAGGGATCATGGTTTTAAAAAAAAATCTACTTAGGGATCAAGAGCCAGGAGGCCAGGAGAGACTCATCCTTCATTCTGGATTGTCTATCTTATTTTTTTCTTGATAAATTTTATCCGGTAATTTTCACTGAATCAAAGGAAGTCCCTTGATAAAAACCTTTCTGGGTGCCCAGTCTGGGCTAAAGAGTCCTTTTCCATATCCCTACAGGACTAAGTGTATATCTTCACCTCAGCACCACTACATTAAATTAAATGATCTCTTTCTGGTTCAGTCACCCCAGCTAGACCATGATTTCAAGGCACATGCCACCTTTTATTGATCTTTATATCCCCTGCCTCTGGCACAATAAATGTTACATGGTAGATACCCAATATACTATGCCGTTCAGAACTAAAAATCTACAAAATAATCTACTCATCCACAGAGTTTCAAGCAAGTGAATTCTAGGCTAGCACTCTGCAAACTTAGATGTGCACACGAATCACCTGGAGATCTTGTTGGAATGCAGATTCTGATCCAGTAGACTTGGAACGGAGCCCAGAGACTCTGCATTTCTGACAAGCTCTCAGGTCATGCTGATGTTCCCGGCTCACAGACCACTAGCCATCCTTTGATTAGCACTGCGGCCATCCAAAGGCATGAAACCCAGGGTGCTTGTAGATCAACTTACGTCACACTAGAAAGACGTTTCATATTGCAGAAATGCCAGCACCTGAGAGGACAAAAGATAATTCGTGTTGTTTGCTAGTCTATTCTTATGATAGCCATCATCCTGGACTCTTCCCTGTTCTTCGAAAGAGATGGCAAATAGTCCTCTTGTGAGCGAGTCCTCTGTTCCCATCACAGGAGGTGAGAACTTCCTTATCAGCAGCCTTCGTGTGGAGGACAACTGCTGGTTATTATAGGATTTGCAATCTAAATTCATTCTGAGGAGTAGAAACTGTGGGGATGAAGAGAGGGAGGACAACAGGATTTTACCCAGAATCAGCGAGGGCTTATTCATTCATTCCTTTCTCCATGAATAAAAATAGGTATTGAACCTCTTCTAAGTTCCTAGCATTCTACAAGGCGAGAGAGTCTAGGGTTGTCAAGGTGGATAACGCAGGTCTAGAGAAGAAATCTGGCCAAAAGAAAACCCTAGGGTTCTGGGGCTGGCCTCTGGTAATCCTGCCGTAGGAGACGTGTTCTGGAAGTAGAGACAGGTTACTCTAGAAACATGGAAAAGCGTTCCAGTTTCGGGAGCCTGACAGGGCTGCATAGACTTCCCACTTTGCCTATTCAAATTTTCACTCCCACTGCCCACACTCAGATAAAAGATGTAGAAATCAGGTTTTAAATGTCAACTGCCGTTTTCCAGAGATAGCACAGGATTCTTAGTCATCTGTAATCCTGACCAGCTGTTCTACAGCACATTTTCTCATGTCATGTAAGGCTGCAGCGGGTTGGCCATGGGTCATTTCTGCACAGAACCTCTGAAAAATGGGTGCTTAATGCATACACCATGGCTCCTTTTTGAGGGCATGCAGTTTTGCTTCTAGACCACCCCATATTCAAATAGATTGGATGTTACGGAATGGTTCAAGATTTATTTGCTATTTTTAAAGGCTTTTTTAAAAAGGCTCTTCAGCCACTCACCACACTTGCTGTGGTCTCAAATTTCTAATCACACTGGTCTCCATACAAGCCAATTTCCCCACTTGCCTCAGCGCACAGACACACAGCTCTTTCTAGCTTTTGTTTTCTCATCATTGCTCATGCCAGTTCCCCTCATTGCCGTCAAACCAAACCATATTTATCCTTCAAGGTGAGTTTGTTCACTCATTCATCAAATTTGTATTGCGTGCCTTTTAGGTGCCAGGCACCATCCTGGGTATTGGGAGCATGGTGATAAACAAGATGGAGAAGCTCACTTCAGTGCCGCTTGGGGATACTGACAAGTGAATGGGCCATTATAACTCTCCCTAATGAGGGTCCAGAGGGAGAGATCCAGGTACTAAGAGAATATACAGTGGGGTTAGGATTCCAGTTTTAAGAATGGGTAGAAGATATTCCTAGGAAATTCCAATTCTAAATGCTTTTAGAAGAGTCCAATCTGAGATATAGATGTGATGAAAATAATTACCAACCCCACTGTATGGAAGGTGTTCCTAAGCAGGTGAGAGCCAGCCTGGAAGAATAAATAGGAGAGTGGAAGAGGTTCCTTGCAGTGAGAAATGACTGAGCTGGAAAGGTAAGCAAAGGTCACATTAGAAACTGACCTATAGAAACTCGTTCTAAGGCGTGAAAGAATTTTGTATCATGAAGAAACTGGAAGGAAACCACTGTGAGCCTTTAAGTAAGCACCTGATGTGAATCCCATTTATTCTTTGAAGTCTTCTTCAATTATTTAAATTCCAAGTGATTTTTCCTTCTTTGATTTCCAAAGCAATGACTGGCTGTACTTAGTAGTCTGACGCTGAATTCATGCGCTGTATTTTTATTAACCCATGGTCATTCTCTGATATTGGTTGCTGACATTTTGTGCCCATAGCACGATTCAGGTATTAGTTTTTGCTTGAATGCCCAACATTTATTTAAAATCTCCCTGTATTTACAGTGTGATTGCTTCTCCAATGAAACAATGCCACTTAATATCACCCCTCTTAGCTCTTACAGGCATCAAATTGTGCTGTGCTCTATACAACCGCAAATGACCAGACAGAAAACTAATTTCATACATTGATCAACATTATGTGGCATATCAGCGAAGGGGACAAGTTTCCCAGGTGCTCAATGTTCAGGAAGAACTATTATCTCAGAAGGTTACCTAACTCTAACGACCTTGACTTAGTGCAAACTCCTCAAGGTCAAGCAGAGTTATCTAATTAAAAAAAAAAAAAATCCCTCTCAATTCTTCACATAGTCCTGGATGTAGCACAAGGATTTATTTGAATTTGCATTTTTATTACTTAATTTACTCTTTTAAATTATGAAATGTCAGGCATTCAAATATGTATAAAGAATAATGTAAGGAATGTACATCTTTTCCATTTCCCAGCTTAAGAAGTAAAGCATTATAATGATAATTGGACTCCCACCTTACCTCTTCCCACTGAAAGATAACCATGCTCTTGAATTTGGTGTCTGTCATCCCATATATGCCTTTGTATTTTCACTCCAGTTCTCAGTAGCCATAAACATTCTGTGGTATTGCTTTTCAGGTTTAAAAATGTTGTACAAATGATGTCTTAATATATCCTTCTGCAACTCCTTCTGGTTCAGTATTATCTTTGAGATTTGTCTGTGTTTGCAGATGTAGCTCCAGTTTATCAATTTAGTTGCGGTATCACATGTTATTGTATGAGTAGACCACATTAGAACTTTCATGTTGGTTTCAGTTCCTCTCTAAAACACAGTGTTGCAGTGAACATGTTTGCATTTGGTTCCTGGTGTATATATGTGAGAGCTTCTCACACATACCTGTAGAGATCTAGTAGTGGGATTGCTGGGTTTTAGGATATTCGGGTCATCAATCTAACTAGATATTGCTATAGTGCTGTTTAAAGAATTCACACTCTCATCAGCAGAGGGTGAGTTCCTGGGGCTTCATATTTTTGATAACCATGTCATTTTCAGATTTAGGTATCTGATGTATCTTTATGCATATGTCTACACACACACACACACACACACACACACACACACACACACCCCTACACATATCAGGGTTCTAAGGGGAAGACAAAACTTTACTAAATGAATAGAGTTGAATTTGGAACTTCCCAGATAGCAATCTCAGCAACTTGGAATTAATTGGATTCTTTTTAAATTATACAAACAACAACAGTATGGTAAAATAATATTAATAAAAAAAAGTTACATGATTAAAGTACAAAATAGCCTATAGTATTATCCCATTAACATAGTCATTTCATTTTTTAACATAATAGATGCTCATTGACTTGGTAATTTTACTCGTTGCCTTAACCAAACTGAATGATTTTTAAAACGAATTCACTGTTGGCTGATTTTACATTTTATGTATATGTTCCAAATATGTTTAGTCCTCCTACTGGTGTCCCATCAGGGCTGAGTTAGAGTGTAGTTAAATAACAACGAATAAAACAAACTTCCAAGTCAGACTTGTTTTTATTTTAGAAATTATCTCTTGCTACACTGTAATTCCCAAGAATGTCTCTGGTCACATAGAGCAGGTACTTTTCTGTATTTATTTTGCTGCAAAAATTCAGTATACACAAAGCAAAGCATGCCAAAATGTAAACAAAAGATTACAGCACAAAATAGAAGTTCATAAAATTACCCTCTTCTCATCTTTTTTTTCTTCACCAATTCCATTCTTTTGTCAATGTCCTGGTGAAGAGAAAGCATTAACTGTTGGTAATAGCAGCCTGACAGGTGGGTTTTAGAAGGCAATCAGTGCTAGATGAAATGTTAGCATCATCCTAGTGAAGACATGGGCATGGCTTTCCAGTTTTAAGCATGGGTAGAAGATATTCATAGGAAATTCCAATTCTAAATGCTTTTAGAAGAGTCCAATCTGAGATATAGATGTGATGAAAATAATGACAATCTTTTTCAGGCAGATACATCATCAAAATTGATGCCTGAACTGTGCAGAGCTTTCAAAGAAAAGTTAACTCTTACAGGTCGGTTTCCCCACTTCTCAGGAGAAACGAAATCATTCCTGGTTTCTCAGTTCTTCTTACTGATGTCTTCACTCAGAAAATTCTTCTCCTCAGATTTGAGATTGAGAACAAATGTAGCATGCTATTAGCCAACTGTTTTTGTGAAAAGTCCCTCTCATTTACCACTCTACTTCTAATAGATGATTATACATTCTGGTTAGAACCACATGGGATTATATATGTCAGTGGAGATATCTTCTTTCTCCTATGATGACCTCGTATCTTCACCATCTGCAAAATATATAAATATTCACTGCTTTTAATGTTACTGTATTTGTTCAAAATGTTCCTCCAGAGCCTACTCCTTTATACGCCGCATATAAAACAAATACAAGATTTTTGTCATTTTCAATGGTCAAAATAGAAGTCCAACTCAGGGTAATGTGATAATAGATATAAAGGAGCAATATATAAGGAGAATCCTAGACATCATTCTTTCTGGAAAAAACATTGGTACATTAATGATTTGACATTCCATGCTTAGCAAATTTAGTGGCTGCTATTATTAAATAGGTGCTTGAAGGGGTGTGCAATAGACAATGTCAGGGTTCTTCCCAGAATCCCTCTAATCTTTCTTTTCTCCACATTAATTTCTAGGACAATACTCCTTCCTTTTCTGTCTTCCCCTTCTTGGCCTCCCTCTCCAGCCATTGCCATGTGAGCTTTTGCTTCCAACATCACCACCTACTATTCTTTGAAGACTGCTTTAGCTACTGGATCTGCTCTAATCATATGCGCCATGAGCACCTGGAGTTTACATTCCTCCTGAGAGCAACTCTTGACCAATCAATGACCTAGGAGGAGGTAAGAGAGCCCCACTTTCTCTTTATCCAATTTGCCAGTCTGTGTCTTTTAACTGGGGCTTTAGCCCATTTACATTTAAGGTTAATATTGCCATGTGTGTGAATTTGATCCTGTCTTTATGATACTAGCTGGTTATTTTGCCCATTAGTTGATGCAGTTTCTTCATAGTGTTGATGGTCTTTACAGTTTGGTAGGTTTTTGCAGTGGCTGGTACTGGTTTTTTCTTCCCATTTAGTGCTTCTTTCAGAAGCTCTTGTAAGGCAGGCCTGGTGGTGACAAAATCTCTTAGCATTTGCTTGTCTGTAAAGAATTTTATTTCTCCTTTGCTTATAAAGCTTAGTTTGGTTGGATATTAAATTCTGGGTTAAAATTCTTTTCTTTAAGAAGGTTGAATATTGGCCCCCATTATCTTCTGGCTTCTAAGGTTTCTTGAGAGAGATTTGCTGTTAAGTCTGATGGGCTCCCCTTTGTGGCAACCCAACCTTTCTTCTCTCTGGCTGCCTTTAACGTTTTTTCTTTCATTTCAACCTTGGTGAACTAATAAGCAACTTGAGCCAAGTATCAGGATACAAAATCAATGTGCAAAAATCACAAGCATTCCTTTACACTAACAATAGGCAAGCATTCCTTTACACCTACAAGACAGCCCAATCATGAGTGAACTCCCATTCACAATTGCTACAAAGAGAATAAAATATCTAGGAATACAACTCACAAGGGCTGTGAAGGACCACTTTGGGAGAACTACAAACCACTGCTCAAGGAAATAAAAGGACACAAACAAGTAGTAAAACATTCCATGCTTATGGATAGGAAGAATCAGTATCATGAAAGAAATTTATTGCCCAAAGAAATTTATAGATTCAATGCTATCCCCATCAAGATACCATTGACTTTCTTCACAGAATTAGAAAAAACTATTTTAAATTTCATATAGAACCATAAAAGACCCTGTATAGCCAAGACGATCCTAAGCAAAAGCAAGGCTGGAGGCATCACATTACCTGATTTCAAACTATACTAAATTTATACAAAACAGCATGGTACTGGTACCAAAACAGATATAGAGACCAATGTAACAGAACAGAGGCCTCAGAAATAATGCTACACATCTACAACCACCTGATCTTTGACAAATCTGACAAAAACAAATAATGGGAAAAGGATTCACTACTTAATAAATGGTTTTGGGAAAACTGGCTAGCCATATGGAGAAAACTGAAACTGAACCCCTTCCCTACACCTTATACAAGAATTAAGATGGATTAAAGACTCGAACATAAGACCTAAAACTATAAAATTCCTAGACAAAAACCTTAGGCATATCATTCAGAACATAGGTATGGGCAAAGACTTCATGACTAAAACACCAAAAGCAATGGCAATGAAGCCAAAATTGACAAATGAGATCTAGTTAAACCAAAGAGCTTCTGCACAGCCAAAGAAACTATCATCAGAGTGAACAGACAACCTACAGAATGGGAGAAAAATTTTGCATCTGATAAAGGGCTAGTATCCAGAATCTACAAGGAACTTAAACAAATTTACAGGAAAAAAAAAAACAACCCCATCAAAAAGCGGGCAAAGGATGTGAATAGACACTTCTCAAAAGACGACATTTATGCAGCCAACAAACATGAAAAGAGCTTATCATCACTGGTCATTAGAGAAATACAAATCAAAACCACAATGAGATACCATCTCACACCAGTCAGAATGGAGATCATTAAAAGGTCAGGAAACAACAGATGCTGGAAAGGATGTGGAGAAATAGGAATGCTTTTACACTATTGGTGGGACTGTAAATTAGTTCAACCATTCTGGAAGACAGTGTGGTGACTCCTCAAGGATATAGAACCAGAAATACCATTTGACCCAGCAATCTCATTACTGGGCATATACCCAAAGGATTATAAATCATTATACTGTAAAGACACATGTTTATTGTGACACTGTTCATAATAGCAAAGACTTGGAACCAACCCAAATGCCCACCAATGATACACTGGATAAAGAAAATGTGGCACATATACACCATTGAATACTATGCAGCCATAATAAAGGATGAGTTCATGTCCTTTGCAGGGTCAAAGATAAAGCTAGAAACCATAATTCCCAGCAAACTAACACAGGAACAAAAAACCAAACACTGCATGCTCCCATTCATAAGTCGGAGAGCTAACAATGGGAACACATGGACACAGGGAGAGGAACATCACATACCAGGGCCTACTGAGGTGTGGGCGGTGGGGCTATGGGAGGGATAGCTTTAGAAGAAATACCTAACGTAGATGACGGGTTGATGGGTGCAGGAAACCACCATGGCACTTGTACACCTATGTAACAAACCTGCACATTCTGCACATGTACCCTAGAACTTAGACAGATAGGTAGATAGATAACAGACATTAAAAAAAAAAAAAAAAAGAAAGAAAGAAAAGAAAAAGCCCAACTTTCTTGACTCAGCTCAGGAAATCTCTGCAGCCTCTTAGATGCCTGAGTTCTCTTGAAGGAACAGGCTTAAGCTGCCCTCTATGGGACTTCGCCTGAGATGACATCCTTGTTTGCCTTCCACTCCTCTGTCTTGCTCTCTGTTTTAGTCCATTTAGGCTGCTATCACAAACTACTATAAACTGGGTGTCTTATAAACAAAGAAATCTATTTCTTTCAGTCCTGGAGGCTGGGAAGTTTATGATCAATGCACTGGCTCATTCAGCATCTAGTGAGGGACCTGCTTTCTGGTTCAAACGTGGTGCCTTCTCACTAAATTCTCACATGGTGGAAGGGTAGAGGAGTCCCCTTGTGTCCTTTATTCTAAGGACACTGATTCCATTCATAAAAGATCCACCCCCATGACTTAATCACAAACGACCTGCCTCCTAATACCATGATCTTGGGGGTTAGGACATCCACATACTAACTTTGGGGGAACATAAACATTCAGGCCATGGCATTCTTCATTAGTGTATCTCCAATACACTCTCTGTCTGTTCTCATGGAAATCCCAGTCAGGAGAGACACATCCTTTGACAGCAGTTGGGAAATGGGAGGGGCCAAATTGCAAAGTGAAATTTATCATCATTGCTACCGTCCTCATTCCATGATACACCTGAATTCAGAACATTGTAACACGAGTTTAAATACCTCATTTCTAGCAATACGCTTCTTCCTTAACAGAAATATGCACAGAATGGAAAAGATTTGAAGCCTTACCTGGGTTTATGATGTTTTGATCAAAGAAGGACTACAGGACTACAGACAGAATATTTTTTAAATGACTCCTGGTTTGACAATCCCCACTCCACCCCACCCCAAATACCTCCGCAGAGGGGTTTTCCATCTGGGGCAAAGCACCACAGTGAGATTCAGAATGGCTGAGAGATGTGCCGTATTTTGTGTGTGAAGTGGGGGTTGTTTTTAAAAGCAGACGCCGAAAAGGATGCCCTTCTGTGATTCCTCAGGCACAAATACATTCTCAGGTAGATGGAGCCCTTTAAGACTAGCTTTTAGAAATCCATGCATTGGAAACTCTTTGTGTGTCACCCAGTATGTGTACCTCGGTATAAAAAACACTGGCCTCATCCAAGCTTTTCATTACACCGAGAAGAAGGTTTAGGACCAGAGCAATCAGGTGACTTCTCGAGATCATAAAGCTAGTTAGCAACAGAACTAAAACTAGCACTGGGGTCTCCTCATTCCCAATCTGGGGTACTTTTCACCAAAACCACCAGCTCTGTTATTATTTGTTACCATCACTATCATCATCAACATGATCACAATTTTAAATAACAGCTAATATTTATTAAGATTTTACTCTATGCTAGGAGCTGTTTGAAGCACTTCATATTCATTTACTGCTCACATTAGCCAATGACATAGGTTATATTATTACCTCCATTTTGCAGATAAGGAAATGGAAGCTCAGAGAGGCAATATGACATGCCCAAGATCACATGATGATTGCAGAAATAGGATTCAAATTTACAGCTGGCTCCAGGGTTCATTCTTTCAACTCCTGTTTCCTCAAGTGTTTTCTACAAAATACTAGCCTTATAAAATGTAACATCCACAGGATGTTACAAGATCCTGTGACCAAATTGATTTGATTACAGTTGCTCTCTCAGAATATTAATGGAATTTGTTATTTCATCAAAGACAATAAAAAGTCCTGCAGAAAAACCCGTATCTACTTAGCAGTGATTTCTAGAGAAATGATTTTCCCCAAATACTTATTAATATCCAACGAAAGGACCCCTATTAAAGAAATCTAATTTAGACTTGATATTGATAATACTAGTTGAGTGGTTCTCAACCTCTGGAGGCTCCACCTTCAGAGTTTCTGATTCTGCAGGCCTGGGGTGCAATCCAAGAATCAGCATTTCTAATGGGTTCCCAGATGATGCTGATGTGGCTGGTCCAGGGACCATACTTGTAGAAACACTACAGTTGATATTGGAAAAATAAAGACTAAGAAACAAGCCTTGGGTTTGGCATAAACAAGAAAAAAAAAAAAAGATACAGTTCCATTTAAAAATATCTACATTAAAATCTTGAAAATGTACTTTACAATGAGCAAATAGAAAATCTGTCCTTTAAGTAGAAATATGTAATGAAAATATCAAACAAATGGACAGGTGAAAAGAAACGTTCAATCCCTTTAGGTAAACAAAAGATGAACAAAACAACATAGAGTGATAATTCTACACAATGGATTTATATTTTTAATTGTCAAATAGATGATCAGACTTAAATAATTCAAATAGGGATAATACTAGTTGATTATATTCTAGGCATAGTGTGTACTTTGGGCTTTATATGTATCACCTTCAACTTTTCAACAACTCAGAGACAGATTTTATTATTTCTGTTTCATGGCCTAACTTTAAGATAAACTTGTGTTCTATAAACATAGAGTATGAATCACTATGACAAAAAGTATGATTCATTACTGTGAATTCTTAGGTAAGATGATTCAGATATCTGTAGCTTCCATTTCCTTATCTGCAAAAAGATAAGGTACAACTCAGTAATTTCCAGTCACTAAGCTTTCTTGATTCCAAGAAAAAGTCAAGCTAATTTTCTGAAGAGACTCAGTTTGGCTTCAGGGAGCAGGGCTGGCCGAATACAACTAACCCAAGCTGTTGGCTAGAGATCTGTGAGAAAAAGTATTAAAGACATCATCTATTTCTGGATGTATAACATAGGATTACAACAGAAAAGTGCAGAAAACATTCGGAGAAATAATGAGTAATAATAACTAACAACAAAGAGGCGTACTTGATGATAATCATTTTGATTCTAGCAATGTTACCTGTTTTCAGCAGCAAGCAAACCACCTTGAGATATCTAAAGCTACCTAACAGCAATGATTCAACCAGGATTTACAGCAGTGTTTTGCAAACTTGAATGTACATTGAAATCATCTGAGAGCTTAAAAAAAAAGAACTGATGCCTCTGTCTTATTTCTAAAGAATGTGACTTAATTATATGATATGGGGTATAGGCTAGACTTTGTACTTTTCAAAAAAAAAATACCTGGGTGATTCTAATGTATAGACAAATTTGGGAACCATCAATGTATTGGGTTCTCTCTTGAGAGCATTTTTTTTTTTTTTTTTGAGACAGAGTCTTGCTCTGTCGCCAGGTACCAGGCTGGAGTACAGTGGTGCGATCTCGGCTCGCCGCAACCTCTGCTTCCCTGGTTCAAGCAATTCTCCTGCCTCAGCCTCCAAAGTAGCTGAGACTACAGGCATACACCACGACAGCCAGCTAATTTTTGTATTTTTAGTAGAGATGGGGTTTCACCATGTTGGCCAGGATGGTCTCGATCTCTTGACCTCGAGATTCACCCACCTCGGCCTCCCAAAGTTCTGGGATTACAGGCGGGAGCAATTTTTAATTATATTCCCTGCTATAAACTGAAATGTGTCTCTTGCCCACAATTTTATATAGTGAAGCCCTAACCCCATGTGACTGTATTGGAGAAAGGGCCTTTAAGGAGGCAATTAAGGTTAAAAGAGGTCATAAGGGTCAAGCCCTGATTTGACAGAATTGTTAACCTTATAAAAAGAGAACGCGACACAGGGATTCTCTTTCTATCCTGTGAGGACAAGGAGAGCAAGCAGCTATCTGCAAGCCAGGGAGACAGCCCTCATCAGGAACCTCACAGGCTGGCACCTGGATCTTGGTCTTCCAGCCTCCACAACTATATGAGAAAATAAATCGGTGTTATTTAAGCCACCCAGTCTTTGTCATGGCAGTCCAAGCAAAGCAATACATCTCCTCTTCAACCAACCCTTTCTGTTTCTGATCCACCCCTTATTCCTTCCTCCAGATGTTGGTAAAGCATATGATCATGCTGGTGCACCCTAGTCTGGGCAACAGAGCAAGACGGAATCTCAAAAAGAAAAGAAAAGAAAAGAAAAAGAGTCAATGAACTTGAAAGATGAATTATACAAACTGAAGAGAAAAAAGTTTGAGAAGAGAGCGGACAGAACGTTGGAGACTAGTTGAGTATCAAAGGGTCTAACACTCGTTTCACTAGAATTCTGTAAGTGAAGCAGAAAGACACTCGCAGGTATTTGAGGAAATAAGGACCAGACATTCCCCCAAACTGGTGAAAGATACAAATTTACAGATTTTAGAATCTAAAAAAACACCCTATTCAAAAGAAAAGAGAAAAGAAAAGGAGAAACTCATGCCCCTTCACAATATATGGGCTTTTGCTTACATTTCGGAGCCTTCAGGTAGTTGCTTTTTGTGTTTCGTCCAGAATTTTCAGTCGTAATCAGCGAAAAAGATAAGTTATATGGGCTTATTCCATTTTGAAACAAAAACGAACTTACTCCATTTTAATGAGAACTAGATATTTCATTATACTTATATTTAATTTTTATTTTATATATCTTCTGTCTATATTTTTCCCATTTTCCCTATATTAATTTCTCTTATTTTCCATCATTTTGCTGATTTTGTTCTCTCTACATATAGGTATATCTACAATTATACCCATATCTAAAACTATATATATATATATATGTTTATGCACGTGTATATATAGCTTTAACTATATCTATATTTATAAACGTCTGTGTATACATGTATATGCATGTATATACACACACACACGCACACACACACTTTTTTGAAGTATACATACATGCCCCTATATGGGATTTTTTAAATATAAATGTCCCAAAATTTATTTTTCAATTCAGCTGTTGGGCATTTTGTTCCCACTTTGGGGCCACTACAAATAGTGCCTTTATAAGCATTTTAGCACATGATTTTTAGTCAGTATGTATATTTCTATTGGGTATACACAGTGACATAAAATTGCTGGTTCATTGGATATACATATTTTCAGCTTTGGTAGATATCCAGAAATATTTACTTTAAATTCATTTCCCACGAGTCTGGGACACAGCAAGGACTGTAAATCGCTGCCCTAGAGTTGATAACTTCCTACTCTCCGTCTCTTGTTTTGCTTCTAGCTGTAGGCCCATAACCATTTCCCCATCCAGCCTACGAAGCTGCCCACCATCTCCACACAGATCTCAGAACCACAGTGGCCTTATCTTCTCCGGGTCCCACTGAGGCTGGGGCTCAGCTAGGGAACTTCATCTCAAACCAGGAACACCCTAGTTGCTAAAAAAAGAGAGCAGATCTTGAGTACTAAAACTCTAGAGGCTTCTTGCACAGTTCCCCCTCATCCCCATTTAGCACAAGGATAGGGGCTGCTCCTGCTCACTTGGGACCCGCTGTCCTTGTTCTTATCCCTCTCACTTCCCCATTCTCTGACTCCACACCAAGGATTTATACCTGCTTATAATTCTGAATATGTCAACAGACTATTTTTTGCCTTTCTGAAGTTTCATCTCTCTTGCCTCTTCATTTTGGGGGGCCCCCTTGGATCCTTAGATGATAAGCCCCTCTTCTATCCACATCCTGTCATCTCTACCTGACCTACTGAATTCTAACTGCTCGTCTTCCACCAGGGGAAAATCCAAACAAACAAAATTACTTGAGGGTCTTCGACTCTATGGTACTCAAGATTACCTTCTTTTTCTTGTTGTTTATCAACCACTTGAGCTGTAGTTTCTTCTAAATGTGCTTCTTCCTTGTCCTTCACTGCCAATTTCTGAGTTGAAAAGAGCAGGTATAACTTCTGCATCAAATCCGTAGCTGTCCCAGAACCATTACTATGACTGTTTTCTAATACAAGGAAATGTTGCTCCTTGGAATCAACGTCATCAAACAGCTCACCATTTTCTGTCTTTATTTCATATATCTCAGGAATAAGTCTGAGATAATAGAGAAGAGAGATGAAAAATTAGTTAGCCAAGTCCCCTGCAAGATTAACAGCAAATACCACCAGATAATATAAGAGGAATCCATTTGATGCATGTGATTGGAAAGTCCAAGTGCAGTTCATGAATAAAACTTGACTTGTGTGATTTTCTGGTGTTCTGAAGGGAAATTAGACATTTGTCTCAGCAGTTTAGAATTCAAAACCAATATAATTTCCATCATTAAATTTTTATTGAATACTTAGGGTTGTACTTTGTAAGATCAAACTTGAAAGAATCCTTCCTGCCAATCATCATATGTGTTTTGTCTTCTAAAGGGCCAAATGTTTTGGTTTTTTATGTTTTTATTCTGCTCTAAAATTATTACATCTAATATTTGATTTAAGTTTTCTGTTTTCACAGTATTCAATATTACAGTTATGTTATCTAGTTAATGAGAAGGTAATAATAGGAGGCTTTTTGGTAAAAGAAACATAAATGGAAACATAGTTCTTTCAAATATGAGTCCTGTTTTATTTGCGATTAATTTCAGACCTGTGCTATCATCACAAATGAGTGGCATTTAAAACATACACACACACACACACACACTTCCATCTTGAAAATTAAAATGCTATTCATTTCACAGTTTTTTTTGAAGACTATTTCCAGTCGTAGTATTACCCAAACTTAGAATTTCTAAACTCACAATATGGTGTTTTCTCTGCCAACGTTCTCTGGGTTGGGAGAGGTCATGTTAACACACGTGGCTTTCATATCTTTGGTGGGATATTTGTTGATGGCACCTGGAGAGAGAGTGGGGCTGGTTAGTCTAAATTTTACCCATCAACATTATTATATCACCCAAAGTCAATTTGTCTTTTCATGTGGTTGGCAGTGTTTTCAAGAGCAACTTTTACGACTGACTTAGAAAAACACTCACACTCTGACATTGAAATTCTTTGTTCTTGGCAAAGTCAAGAAGATACAGCTGTAATTGAATAAATAATTCCAATGCTTGTCACAAATTTTTGATATACTTTAAGGACATCTCTAAATTCTTCCTATTATTTCTCTCCCTATAAAAGAAGGATCTTTCTAGAAAACTATTAGCTATTGAAATGGTCTGCCCTATTTATCTTGGGGTTGGAAGAAGGCACATTTACAGGCTAGTAAATATAGATCCTAAATTCCAAGATTCCTGAGACCTATGTAAGCCCTGGGGCTTTATGCACGCCAGAAAACCTGGATCCTTTCTCTAGCAAACTTGCAGGAGCTGCAGAGAACCATTCAATGTAGCCTCTGCCACATTCCTAATTTGCAGCACAGGCCAGGATTTGTTTGATGTTACAAGGTTTTGGATCTGCTACTATATGCATGTCTGAAGTCACAACACATGGGCGGAGGCTGGGCAGCCACCCTCAAAGCCCCACTGTGTACAGATACCCTTAAAAATCCCTGCGCAGCTGTGCCTAAGCCAGCTGTCTGGCATAGGGGCTCTAGAAGGGATTTGTGCCCATGGCTCTTAAGAATTCAAGTCAGAACTCAGGTTAATTTATAATGATAAGACAAAATAGAAGTCCTTGGATCAGGTGGAGGGCAGTGTCAGATATTACTTATTACAGCAGTATACCTTTCTAAGGGTTTAGTAATTAAAGTATGATTTACTAGACAAGAACGTAGCCCTGGGGTCAGAATGTGAGGGACTGAGTCTAGAATTTACCAATTATTGCTTGAGATTTTAAGCAGTTTATTTAACATTTCTGAATCTCAGTCTTTTCACTTGTAAAATGGGGATATGAATATTTTCCTCTGAGTACTACACTGAAGGTTAAATGAAACAGTCCATTTAAAGAACCTGGCACATAGTAAATAGTCACAGATTAGGGCTAAAGGGCACTTTTCATCCATTTGAAGATTTCTTGGCTGAAACTGGCAGCGCAGGAGCAAGGCTCATGGTAATGGGATTTTCCTCTGAAAATTTTCACTGCTTCCTATTACTTATACTCTACTACTCTTAACTAAAGTGAGGATCATTTTGCTAAGTCTGCTAATGGATCGTACACAGAAACATTAAATCTGTTGCAAAAGCAATCGAAGAGAATTAATGACTTACGTCTGATTAAATGGACAAATGGCTTGACAAAGTTGACGATATAGTCCCAATCTGGTTTGTGGGTTCGGCCAAGCTGAACCAAGTGATGATCCAGGGGGTGGCTGGCTAATTCTTCTAATTCTTTGTCATTGTGTTTAGGGCCAAAGGAAAACACAAATATGGAGTAGCCTTGACACTTGGCTCTCAGAGACACATTCCTTAAGACTTCTTTGTCTGAAGGGTTGGTTTCACCAGCAGATATTACAAAGATAACTTTGTTTTTCCTCGGATTGGGGGTTCCTACAAAGACATTGTCAATTGTCCATTGCAAGGCACGACCAATAAAAACATCTCCATTGAGCTGCTGAGAGTCTTGGAGGTGATGTTTCATTTGGTGTATGCTGTTGTAAGTAACCAAATCAAATTCTAGGTAGACAGGGCATTCTTCAGTGTTAGGCATATAGCCTCGGGGAGAGTAGCTCAGGACAGCAACCCTGTCTCCTAAGGTGGAGGTTAGTGGATCTGGGGCAATGTGAAAGTAATCAAGCACTTTGGTTATAAATGCTTTCACTTCCTTAAACTCATCACTTCCTACTCTTTGGGAAGCATCTATGAGGAAAGCCACATCCATGTAATATTCTTGAAGTGAGGCATCTCCAGGTTCATAAGTATGATCTGGTTCTTCTTCTCTGCCATGAACGTCATGTCCTGCAACAGAAAAACTCAAGTCATTCTTTTTAATAGAAAGATAATCTTGAAACTCCTAGTCATAGGTGGCAAATACACAGTATGAGGGTATTACCACGCTTCATTTCCCTACTCATGGAATCAATCAATAATCCATACTCATGGAATCATCAGTAATCAATCACAGTTCTTGTTCCCAAATGCACTCTCCAAATATGTACCTATATAGTGCATGCAGAACCATTACCATACGACATGTATTGTCACATATGAAGAAACCCATTTGCCATCCTATCTCAGATCTTTGCGAAAGGATTGATTTATCTTCCAGCTATTTTAATATGCAAGATGAGAAACGATCATTTTCAATGTACTCTACATGGCTAAAAGTTTGGAGTACATATTTGCATGAAATTTATACATAATGACCTCATGAGAAAGTATAGATGTTGAAGTTACATTTATTGGTGGCACAAACACAAAAACATTTATATACATGTGCAAAGTATGTACCATACAGAAATGTCATGAGAGCAAGTATAAACAAGTGCTGACTTTGGAATCTAAATGCTGTGTGAGATATGATATATTCGTAAAAACCTGGCACTCAAAGTGCCTGCAAACAGTTCATCAGCCCATTTTAAGGTAAGGAGTTTGCACCATGATGTAAGTCAACTATATTACTAAGCACACTGATTAGGTCAGCTGACATTTATTTATTTAGTTTCATAGCAAGACTTTCTCAAAGAAGAAAAAACATTGCCTTGATTTACATTCTGAGGCACACTTCTTATCTTGCTGCAGACCAGCACTTCAAGTAGCTCTGCTCTAAGCCTAAGGGATCATGAAGAAGCCTGTCTACAATCATATGAATGATGGCTGATTGGTAAGGCTGCAACAGGAAATGCCAGCTCAGAAAGACAGAAAGTAGATGGCCAATGCTCTTTGTTTCTCTGAAAGAAGTGAATTTGTGAACCTAATCAAGCAAAAAAGGAGATTTTTAACTAGCAGAAATTTATTGATCTCCATTTCTACTCAACCCCTTATTAGATACTTCTACATTTATTATTTTAATTCTCACAAAAACAAGTGAGTCAACCTGTATTAATGCTATAAGCCTAATATAGAAATAAAATTCAAAAAAGAATACCCCACCACCATGCGTGAAGTTATTAACAGTGTAAATGCTCTATTAGGTCATTTTTGATCATTAAATGAGCCCTGCCTTCCAGTATAAATTCCATATTATCTTTTTAAAAATCTGTTGTTGGATTTAACTTGCTAAACTTTTTTTAGAATTTTGCATCTATGTTCACATCCTTGTGAATGATGGTCTGTAGTTGGTCGGTAGTTTCCCTTTCACATAACATCTTCATCTGGTTTTGGTATCAAGGTAATCTGGCCTCAAAAAATGAGTTGAGAACATTCCAAATCTACTCTTCTAGCTATTTTGAAATATGCAATAAATTATTGTTAACTGGTGTTAACTTTAAAGTATACAATAAATTATTTTTAACCATGAGAACACTAAATCCTATTTCTTCTAATAAGTATTTTGTGCCCATTAACCAGCTCCTCTTTATTCCCCCGCCCCCAGCCTTCCCAGCCTGTTAACCACTATTTTATTGGCAGATACCCCAGTTATCCAGCTTTGATCATTACACACTGCATGCTTATATCAAAATATCACATGTATTCCAAAAATATGTATTATACAACTATTATGTATTCATAAAAAATTAAAAATACTGAAATAAGTGAGTTGTAAAATAGGCCCTTTTCTTTAACGTTCTAAAAGAGTTTTCATAGAATTGGTATTTCTTTCTTAAACTTTTAGTTGATTTCACTAGTGAAATCATGCATACCTGGAGTTTTCCTTATGGGAAGATTTGAACTACAAATTCAATCTCATTAATACAGGTATAAGGCTACTTAGGTTATTTCTTCTTTAGTAAGCTTTGGTTGGGCATTGCAAGAAATTTGTGTATTTCACCTAAGCTGATTTATATGCAAAAGATTATTTATTTATAATATTCCCTGGTTATCCTTTTAATATATTTGGAATACATCTCTTCTCTTATTTGTGATATTAAAAAGTTGTGTCTTCTCTTTCTTCCTGGTGAGTTTGATTATAGTTTTATCAATTTCATTGATTTCATAGAAATAACTTTTAGATTTATTGACTTTATTGTTTTTCTTTTTTAAATTTCACTGAATTCCACTTTATTTTTATTATTTTATTTCTTCTGCTTACCTTAGGTTTATCTGGTTCTTTTTTCTCTGATTTCTTAAGGTAGAAGTTGTGATCATTGATTTGCAACATTTCTTCCTTGTCAATATAGGCATTTAATTCCATTTATTTCCTCCTAAGTACTGCTTAACTGGAACCTCAAATTCTGACACACCGATTTTATTTTATTTCAAAATATTACACTTTCTAATTTCCCCTTCTATTGATTCTTTGACTCTAGACTATTTAAAAGTGCTTTATTTGGTTTCCAAATACTTGGGGAATTTTCAAAGATCTTTCTGCTATTGATTCCTAATTTAATTCTGCTTTGGTCAGAGAACATATTTGCTATCACCTGAATCCTTTAAAATGTTGAGCATTATTTTATGGTCCACAATATGGTCTATCTTGGTAAATGTTTCATGTGCACTTGAAAAGATTATATATTCAACTATTAGTAGACTGTTATACAAATGTCAATTAAGTCAAATTAGTTGATACTGTTGTTCAAACCTATTATATTCCTGCTGATTTTTAATTAATTATTGGGAGAAGATCCTGAAATACTCACTAATACTCACTAATACTCTTCATTTTTTAAATTGTTTTTTCCTCTGCGTTTTATTTTGGAGAATTTCTCTTGCTCTGTTTTCAAGTTTGCCAATCGTTATTTTTTTTAGCCACATCTAATCTGCCATTATACCATTCCATGTATTGTTCATCTTAGACACTATGGTTTCAACTCTATAAATTTTATTAGGATCTTCTTTATATCTTTCGTGTCTCCACTTAACTTTTTAATATATTGACTAAGTTATGACAACTGTTTTGATATCTTTGCTAACCACCTATGTCTGTTGTGGTTCGGTTTTGAGTAATTATACTCTTTATTAGGTGTTGTACCCTTCTGCTTCTTATTATGCCAGACATTACAAAATTTTTCTTGTTGAGCATGAAATACTTTAGTATTCTTGTAAATATCCATGTGCTTTGCTCTGGGAGGCAATTAAGTTACATGGAAAGAGTCTCATCCTTTTGGATCTTGCTGTTATGATTTGCTGGTGAGCCTAATAATTCGGGGCTAATTATTTCCTATTACTGAGCCAAGACCTTCTTAAGTTTTCTACCCATTACTATGTGAATTATAGTAATTTCCAGTCTTGCTGGTGAAAAAAGCACAATCTCTAGCCCTGTTGAGCAAATAGCACTATTTTAAGAGGATTCTTTCCCTGGTCTCAGGTAATTCCTTCACCTGCATGTGCTATCAACACCCTCCTGAATAATCCAGAGAGACTCTCTGCAGACCTCTGGGGTTTACTCTCTGTGCAGTTATCCCTCTCTGGTATTCCACCCTGTCCACTCTCACTGCCTTGGTCTCCCTGTTCTCTCAGCTCTGACTCCTCAATGCCCTCTTCTTGTATCATGGCCTGAAAACACTCAAGGCTATAAGTCAGAGCACTTGTAGTATTCATCTCATTTGATTCCCTTCTCTAAAGATTCCTGTGTTTCATTTCCTAATGCCCAGTGTCTTAAAAGTTGTTATTTCAGGAGGATCCAAGATGGCTGAATAGGAACAGCTCCAGAGCACAGTTTCCGGCAAGAACAATGCAGAGGGTGAGTGCCCACCACATTTCCAAACAAATTTTCACTGCCCACAGACCAGGAGATTCCCAGACCAAAAAGCGCCACGAGTTTTCTGCATGGTGGTTTCAGCCAGTGCCAGGTTGGCACACGGAAACTCACACAAATCTGGGTGGCCATTTCAACTGGTGCCTGAAATGTCTGGGAGACAGAGCCTCCCATTCAACTGAAATGGAGGGAGCAGAGACAGGGAGCCCGGTGACCTGGTTCGGCGGGTACCACCCTCACAAAACAAGCAATCTGAAATTATCTGGATTGAGAGTTTCGCAGCAAGCACAGCTGGACCCAGGATGGTCCAGCTCAGTGGGGGGAAGGGCAACCACCACTACTGAGGCAGTCCACAACTACTGAGGCTACAGTAACCAAACAGCATGGTACTGGTACCAAAACAGAGATGCAGACCAATGGAACAGAACAGAGGCCCTGGAGGCAATGCCACACAGCTATAACCATCTGATCTTTGGCAAACCTGACAAAAACAAGCAATGGGGAAAGGATTCCCCGTTTAATAAATGGTGCTGGGAAAACTGACTAGCAGTGTGCAGAAAGCAGAATCTGGATCCCTTCCTGACATCTTACACTAAAATTAACTCCAGATGGATTAAAGACTTAAACATAAGACCTAACACCATAAAAACCCTAGAAGAAAACCTAGGCAAAACTATTCAGGACATAGGCATATGCAAGGACTTCATGACTAAAACACCAAAAGCTTTGGCAACAAAAGCCAAATAGACAAATAGGACCTAATTAAACTCCAGAGCTTCTGTACAGCAAAAGAAACAATCATTAGAGTGAATTGGCAACCAACAGAACAGGAAAAAATGTTTGCAACTACCCATCTGACAAAGGGCTAATATCCAGAATCTACAAAGAACAAAAACAGATTTACAAGAAACAAACAAACAAACCTATCCAAAAGTGGGTGAAGGATATGAACAGACACTTTTCAAAAGAAGACATATATGATGCCAACAAACATATGAGAAAATGCTCATCATCACTGGTCATTAGAGAAATGCAAATCAAAACCACATTGAGATACCATTTCACGCCACTTAGAATGGTGATCATTAAAAAATCTGGAGACAACAGATGCTGGAGAGGATGTGGAGAAATAGGAACACTTTTACACTGATGGTGGGAGTGT